GTACTCTATATATATATATATATATATATATATATATATATATATATATATATATATATATATATACGGGCACGTGCTGCGAAAGGCACCGCGATAACCTCCCCTTGCTGGGATGCGTCAAAAGATGATGATCTTGTATCGATGATAGCCAGAGATATTGTGAAAAACATAAATGATTTGCAATATTAAGAGGATTTGGCATTTTCAATTAATGCAGGCCGGTTCCATTCTCTCTCTCTCTCTCTCTCTCTCTCTCTCTCTATATAAAAAATACTGTCTTTAAAATATGTTAATATAAAACATATATTTTAAAATACAGAAACAAAATCATTTTAAAAAGTAAAAAATAAATAAAAACAAAGGATTTGTTTCGGATGTAAGCATCAAAACAATGCCCTACCGTATTGCAACGCATCAAAGCAGCCAATCCAACACGGTCAAAAATAACTTAAAGAGGTTGCCACCATTTAGTAAACTGTGGACTAGCTTTGGCTCTTCCTGCTGACTTGAATCGTTGTTACCAAAGGCGAGACACGTGAGGAAAAAATAAACGATCAGTCGTGGGTCTATATTCTGTCATAAATCGCATACCATTCATTGCTGAACTTTCTACCAGTCCGTTACTGGAAATAAAACTAAATTACGGGTTGATATATCCCGATCTCAATAAATTTTACACACTCTTTTGGTCCGTGAATTAGATCTCGCTCGGGACGTGCGCTGTCTGTGGAGGTTTGGCCAGGACCGGTTCCAGAATTAAATCAAAATATTTTATGTTCCGTCCATTGCCAATCACTGCTATTTCGAGAGTGAATCCCGCATAAATATGCACATGTCATTCCCGAAACTTTGCAGGGTATAGCCTATGTGTTCGAAAAACTAAAGTTTCATACAAATTCTGAATGGATTAGCCAATACCCTAGAAAGTGTGCAAAGCAAAAAAACTTAACTGCGGCGCTTTCAGCAGTGAGTGAATTCTGACAAAACGTTTCTGATTGGCCATTGCATTTAAGAAATCAACAGATATGTCTGTGATTGGTTACATTGCTCAACGCTGCAAAAACACGTTGAGGTTATTTAGCGCTTGGCTAAGCGCTCCAATTGCAGCAGGGCCGACATCAGGGATTCCATGACTAACAATTTGGGGGGGCAATTGAATAGATTCGTTGGACTAATCCTATTACATTTGGAAAATAAAAGAGGTTAAAGTGTGTGAAATATAATTTTCTCAGTGCCACTGCGTTCAACAAGACAGTCAAAATGACGTAACAGGCAACGTATTGCGCCAGTGGCATAGTGGACGGGCACCGCGATAACCTCCCCTTGCTGGGATGCGTCGAAAGACGATGGTCTTGTATCAACGAAAGCCAGAGATATTGTCAAAAACATAAATTATTGGCAATATTAAGAGGATTTGGCATTTTCAATTAATGCAGGCCGGTTACATTCTTATTTTATTAGGCCTATTAGTTACTTTTATTATTAAATTAAGATTACAATTAATTTGCCCCGCAATAATTACCACATAACTGACGCGCTGCGAGGATAACAAAAGATTAGGCTATTTACTCCTCAATTAAAATGTTTTAAAAAAGGTCTTTTCAAGAAATACGTTTCTTCTCATTTTTTTCCCCACTATGTACGGGCCACAAGATAAATATTAAGGGAATAAATTAAAACAGTTATACTGTTATCAGCATATGATGAAGTAGTTTCATCTCTGAGAGAATATGCGGCGTCAGATGCCAAAATCTCCATCATTACTCCGTCATTCCATTTTTACTTTCAATTTCTGCAGTGAATTGACTGACATTAAGATGTTCACCGGCAAAACTCTTGCACAAAGTTTGCACGTTGCTTGTGTGATATCCATTGGCTCGCCTTCATGGTTTAAAACAGAAATATTTCCAACATTGCGCTGTAACCAATTACCCCGCCCCCTGTATCGAAAACGTACCGAACCGTGACACCACTGTGTCGTGTCGTATCGAACAGTGCATTTTGTGAACCGTTACACCCCTAATATATAATCACAGAGGACTCCTGATTACTGTCAGTAAGTAATATTTTATTATTATTATAATTATAAGTACTTAATATTTTTAAAGTACGAAGACAACATGAATACAAATGATTTCTTTCTAAAACTTGGCATCTGCAAGATTTCTCTTTATCCCTTTATTTGACCTATGAGCAACCCTTTAGTGCAGACCACTGTCTCCCTAGTTTACCTTATTAGATTTAAGTGGCTCATGTTTCTGGTAAACGCTACAAAAAAGACTCAAACAGACGTGACAAGAAAAATAGAGGTTGGTTTTACTTTGGCACAGACTGATATCATACAGTATACACACACATCAATTTGAGTGAAAGTTTGCAGGAGGAAATAAGGCCTCCACAGAGCTGTTAGATTGGTCCCCCATTGTAATTTATGGTGCTTTAAGTCTTGGTAAGGAACCGAAGCGGTTAAACGTCCAATATGAATTCCCATAAAACCCAAGCAAACATACTCCTAGTGAGCAGCTGAGGGTAATGAGTGCCAAATTTAATGTGGCCAGGTTTGTGGGGGACGACAATGTAAAACATGGCTAAGTACACATCCAGCTATGTTTTGCTACTGTCATTCCTGTGGCCGTGATGCTTATTATGAAACCTCTTGATGCCCAAGCTCTAGTTTTTCATGAGAAAAAACCTCTCCCATGAGGCTGGGTGCTAGTCTTGTTTAATTTTCAGTCCAAACCTCATGATGGGGCCCTAGAATAGAAGGCAAATACATGAACACCAAACTTACAGTGAAGCCCCATTCCTACAGGCAGCGCTAAAAATCTGTATCAGTTGGAAGATCACTGTAGTTACTCCTTGCATTGCTTATTTGTATAAAGTCTCTGTTACTTGGGCTTTCACTGAAAAAGAATGATGTCTGTCGCTTTGACATCGCACATCACTATCAATGTGAACGCCCTTAAGACCAATGTACAACCTTTGAGATATATTAGCATCCCCCACACACTGGCAG